TTGAAAATTTTAGGTAGTTATTTTTTTGTCAAATTTAGTTAGAATTTTCTTTTTTTTTGCTCATTTTTTAAAAAAATCTTGATAGGGAAAAAAACAAATATTTAGGTGTCTATTGTGAGGATGTTAAAGTACCCCATTATTCATTACTAGCTGAATCCAAACTATTGTATTAAAGGTTAAATATGATTGATAATGTTCCGAAAAATGCTATAGATGATTTACATAATTAAAGCATATTGTAGACCCATTAGTACTTCCACCAATGAAGGAAAATTTTCTTCTTTAACAAGAACAAAATCGTACTTAAAAAGATGGCTCGTTTTGAACCTATAAAAAAACTCAATATTTTAGCGAGTAAAATAATGCCACGCCTCGAGATTTCGCTACTAGATTCCAAACCGTTGTGCCATCTATGCTACAAGTTCTACCCTATGAAAATAGATTGAATAAGTGTTAGCCCTTCTTATTATACATAGAGAGTTCCGAGTGTGGTAAATTAGAAATTATATTTAGAATAATGTAAATTTTAATATTGATATGATAAAAATATTTATGTACGTTTATAATGTAATATAGTATGAATTATTATATTCGTTAATTATATATGTTTTATAATGATTTAATATGTATGTATGACATAATATCGGGGGTAGGTCTACCTAAAACTCATATACGAATAAATGATGATATAAAATGATTATAAGAATTTATTAAATTAAAGCAGCAGGATGTAATTATGAATTTTTTCTGTAAATGTGATATATGGTTGAATAATATGGATGATAATTAATGAATAAATTTATGGAAAATGGAACAATTGTAGCTGATTTAACATGAACAAAATAATAAAATATTATAATTACTGACAACACAAATTAGTTGATGAATGAATTTGCAAAGAAAGAAAGGGATAAAATAATGTTGGCGAATAATTGGTATTAAATGGAAATTTTTGGCTTAAAGATATATTTAATTTTGTACATATGAAAATTAATTATAAGAAATTGATGTATTGGAAATGGAACATTATTGAAACAAGGTTATAAAATGTTAAATTATTAAATATATAAATTATGGAAATATTTTTTGTTGTTAGGCGAATGATTATTGTGTGAGATATGTATGATCAAAAAAAATAAAAATGAAGAATCTATTACCTTAGGATGGCTAGATGTAGCATTTGCTTAAAAAATAATGGTGACTTCATGTGCTATGCAGGGATATGGATATGGGCCATCCAAAGATGATAGCGGTTTATTGGCCAGTTTTAAGATATAATAATGACCCCAGCCATCCAAGGATGATAACAAGACCTTGGCCAGCTCTAAGATAACGGTGACCTCGTGACTGTTCTAGCATTATGCGAACATTGCGGGACATTCAGGATAATGGTGCCCTCTTTGGCCATTGGGGATCAATAGAGATACTCAGATGGAATATCCATCTGGGAAATCATGCAACAATGGAATCGATATGATGGTAGGATATCCGTCGATATTGATACTCCAGCGGGAGATCAAGCAACAATGGAATAGGTGTATGCTCCGGTGGGAGACATAAGGAAAACGATATGTATATTCTAGATGAGATCAATCTACCATGGCAGTCAATATTAATGCTCTTTTGAAAGATCAAAATTTTGATAGGAGGGAGAATAGTGGATAATAAAAAGGTAACATTATACAGTAAAGGTAAATGAAGACCAAAGCCATATATTTTTTTGAGAACCTGATAACCGTAAACGCTGCAAAGAGATGTGAGTTTTCCTGATGAAGAGGAAAGTGTAGTAAATTAGAAATTATATTTCGAATTATGTATATTTTAATATTGATATAATGAAAATATATATGCATTCATATATTATGAAATATTATATTCATTAATTATATATATGTTTTATAATGATTTTATATTTATGTATGATATGATATAGTGCAAGGAATAGCTACCTAAATACTCATATAATTATTAGCATCGTCCATTTTGAATTGTGGTTTCAGAGGTTTTATTTAAATACGAATAAATGATTATATAAAATGAATACACGAATTTATTAAACCAAGCACTGTAAAGAAAATTGAACTTTACATTATATATTTTTTTTCTTAAAAAATTTTGATTAATTTTTTATTTTCAAATGAATCAAAATAAAAGGATTTGGACAAATGTAAAACACGAATGTTCTTCAAAAAAGGATACGTTCAAAGTTCGTCAAAAATAAAAGGAAAGTCGTTCACCATTTTTTTTTTTTCAAAATAGCGGACTTCGATTAGAAAATTCTAAGATTGGCATCATTTTAGAACAAAGATTATAGAAACACTAGATGTTCAATCCTATGTGCCATCTATGAGCAAAATCTTTTGGCTTGCGTAATATTTTTTCTGGATAAAATATTGAGTTAGCCGTTTTTAAAAATCGGCTGAGCCGTTTAACAATACTAGCTTAACTAGTATACATTTTCGTTTAATATTTTAATCCGTTTGGTAAACCGCATAAATAAATAAAAAAATAATTAACAAAATAACAAAAGTTCTAATATTGGTACACCAAGATTCAAGCTAGAACAAAAAATATAAACAATTATAACAAAAAAATTAAAAGATGTATAAATGTTAGCTGCTATTGTTTTTTTTCCGGTAATTTGTTATTTTTTCAACTTTGAATATTTTTTGAGCGCGTTTTTTTTTTCAAATTCAAAAATCTTATTTTGCAGAAAATGTATTCCTTTTTTTTGAATGCCGAATGAATTTCGGACTATTTTGCCATAAATTTAATACAGTTTTTCCATTAGCTTTATTATGTAAATTACAAAATTACTCAAAGATTAACGGAAAAATAGTCCACAATTTCATAAGATAGGTATTCTTAAGATGTTGAAATACATTTCCGGTAAAATCAGATTTTTAAATTTAAAAAAAAAGCACTCAAAAAAATGATTTGAAGTTGAAAAATAACACACATGCCGCTAATATATATAAAATTGTTGTCATTATAATAAAAAAAATTTTTTTTAATCGTATTTTAAAATATGAGACTAAATGTCTCTGTCAATAAGCATTTATACTTTTATAATTTAGCAGAGGTATCACGAAAAAATTGTCAAATAAGACTTATGGGATCTTTAGAAAATGTAATGCGAAAATAAGATGATGCATTGTTTAGTGTTATGTTTACAGCATAATTAATTATTTTTAATTTTACCATCTCTTTCGTTATCAAAATCAACTAGACTTACAAAATTCGAAAGTGCAAGTTCTCACTAACATTTTTAGAACAAAGGCTGATATTTTATGTAACCACACGTGTTTCCCCATTGATATTTATGAATAGCTGGCTGCGCCAATTCTAAGACACCGGATTGGTTTATAAAATAGAACACATAACGATCCTGCGAGGTTTTTGATGTTATCATTGGCTAAAAAATATTAGCACATACAATCGATAAAAAACCTATAAAAGAACGGGATTGTGGTTAAGGACTTTTTTCACTTTCACTTATTTTACCTCATTTTAATTATTTTTTAATTTTGCAATAATTTGTACCTTGGGTTAAATTGGACCATGATTATTATTGTATAGTAACGTTGCCATAATTTTGCCTTACCTTTAAAATAAAGGATAGATCTAAATTGACATGTGTCGAGTGCTGTCTGCACTTTTATTTTAGGTCTTCTACCACGTCAGTCTTCATCGGTCAAAACTACTCCTCCTAATCTTAACCCGGAGCTAGCCTGCGCACCAAATCTTATGGCTACTCTAGTCCCCTCCAAGTCCCGTACTCTAAATAATCTTATGACGCCACGTGCAACATTTAGTAAAGTATTACTTATATTAATTCGTTTTTACACTTGGATAAAGCGAAAGTCAAACGTCAATAAGTTGGAAAGCCCCTTTTGAAATTATTTTAAAATATAATTTTATATAACAAATATTTTTTATGTGAAAATATGATTAAAAATTTAATGTGTCTATAATATTGTTTGCTCGTAAATTTTTACCATTTTCTCGTTCATTTTTTTTTAAAAATAGTAAATATTTCTGAGATAACTCTATAGAAATGGAAAATCAAGGAAATTTTATCAATTTTTAAAAAGTAATGAAAGTAAATTTTCGTCGTTTCATTCATGTCATTATTATGAGAACGCAAATTTTTTGTCTAATTTTATTTTCCATAGAGATAGAGTTGGGAAAGGGGGGGGGGGGGGTAAGGTTATATGCCGAATAAATTTATTAGATTATTACTCTTTAGGTTAAATCTTTTATATATATAAAATATATATTAGAAAACTGGTCATAATTTTACGATTAGAATTTTTATGTTATAAGATAAAATATACTTTTTTTTAAAATCAGAATTATTAGTCATAAGTTTAGTAAGATTTTTTTTTAGAAGGAGAGGGGGGGGGAAGGTGATATACGACCCTTCCATAGTTAAATTGGAAATATTTTCTTAATACTTTAATACTTTAATTTTGAATTTTTCTTTTTATTAGTCATTATTTTAATTTTTTTTTATTATCTATAAATGACATATATTGATTTACACATCTACATATTAAAAAAAAGATGAAACACACATTGACAAAATGAATATTAAAAAAATTTTACAAGAGGGATTCCCCTCCCCGTCCCCCACTGTGTCTATAGGTTAATTTAAGATATATATGTTTTTAAAAAAATAAAAATATTTAATGAACTTTAACTTAATTTCTATCAAAATTACATTATATTTTTAAATAATTGTTTTTGATATTAGGATACCTAAAAGCTGTATTGCATTAATAATGTTTATTTTTAGTTTATTTATTGTCCTGTGGTGAAAGACAAAATTGTTATTTTTATATCCTCAATTAATAAAATTATATTGTCACCATGATTAAATAAGATAGTCAAACTCATGGATATTAATATATCTTAGTATCTGCCAAAATAAATATAAAAAAAATGAGGGAGGGGATAAATGACAGCTATCTCAATATCTTGGCATCATTAAAATATACTTTTCTGATTTGGGATATTTTTGTAGTTTAAGTTTTCCCATTTCCAAGATTGAGTTTGGGTCCGCGGGGTGAGCTGATATACCCATAGCCCTTATTATTCTCGGTTCCGATATGGATATATTATTTGAAGATAAATTATTGAATGAGGAATTGTTGGGAAAGGAATCGGGCAAAAAGACGGACTGGAATTTATCCAATTGACTCCTCAATCTGGCTATGATTTCATCTTTATATTCTAGCTGACCCCTCAGATGGGAGATGATATGGTCGTGTTGATTGTTTTGCTGAGGGTAGTTCGATTTGAACCAAGGATTGCATAGATTATGAGCCGATTCATATGGGGGTGGTTGGTTGGATCGATCGTTACCGTTATAAGGGATTGGAGCTAGAGAACTCGGTGTATATATTTTTTTTGAGCCATTTTGGGGATAATTGACCACCGAAACATTATTTCCATTGAATCCTTCTTGAAAATTTGGTTGGTCGTTGGCGTTGTTGTTTATGTTGGAAAGTGGTTTATAAACGCTATCGTTAAAGATTTTAGTATCGCAGGGAAACGTCGAAGAATTAGTCACAATAACGACTCTGCGTTGAAGTTTCGGGTTCAACGTATTGACAGTAGTTACAATATTAGTTAATCCCACATGACAATTATTATCGATTGAAGAATTTACATTATTTTCATTTGCCAAAGTATCGAAGGAACAAATGGACATCTTATATTTGTTGTTGCGCAAGTCATTTAAATCAGACCCATCACCGGGCGAACAATAATTGGCCAATTTATCAATTAAATAATCATCGTTTTTTCCGTAAGAGTCAAACTGTTGGGCCGCTTTTTTGTTACAAGCGAAATTAGCTACGTTACCCGTATCACTTACCAAGGTCTGTTGGTTTAAGTGGGGGCTAGATTCCCAATTTGATGCACTGCTTAAATTTTTGTCGCAAGAATTATTATAAGAATGTGAAGGGTTATTTGATATTGGTTCACTATCAATGCTTCCTAACAAAAATTGTTCTACAGTAATGGGATCAAGACATGCCATTGAATCACGTCTGTTAGGTCTGCGATGTTCATTATCAGGGACATCGGTAATCAAATCGTAATTTCCATTAATGTCATGATTACTTCTTTGAATAGGGAATTGATCACTATCAGAATTTATAATATCGTTATCATTGTCATCGACGTAATTGTAAGTAACCATATTTTCATGACTTTTATTTAATCCATGTGTACCCACTGTAACCTTATCAAATTGAAGTTCGTTATTGAATTCTAGGGAATCGAAGTAATTTTCGGCCAAAGTTTTGGGTTCAGAATTTCCATATTCATATTTGGAATTAACATTTGTATAAATATTATTCTTGTTTTTAAGATTTTCGACAATTAAATTCGTTGAATTAATGTGACGATACTGAGTAAAATTTTTATTTTGAAATTCATTGGAAACTCTTACTGGGTTCTGAAAAGCCATATAATATCTAAAATTTTTGTAAAAGAATCATTTCTCTCCGATGTCGGGAGGGGGAAAAAAATATAAAATTAAAATATAGTATACTTTTTTAAAATATTATAAATGATAATTAAATTTTATAATTTTATCGCGATATATAAATGTCATCTCAAACAAAACAAAAAAAAAATGAAAATAACTTTTTAAAATATTTATGAATAATTATCATTCTAATATATTTCATTTTTCTTATTTATATTTATAGTATATAAATATATCTTTTCGCTATAATAAAAGAACACATACAAATATATTTTATCTCACCTTATAAAAGCCAAATTAAAAATAGATAAATATTATGATAATTATTATATCTCAAAAATGAAATCGGCTATTAAATCATGATAGAATACATGTATAATGAATAAAAGGAACGATTTCCCTAGTTACAATACTAATATGGGATTTTTGAATAAGTATCATTTTATCTTTATCAAAATATTGAATTCGATCAAAAAAAGTTGTTATTATCATTATACTTTACTATGTATTCATTGTATCCTAAGGCTAATATAAATATAATATATACATTTTATTTTTTGAATCTCAAAAAAAAAATAAAATTTAAAAAAATAATAACAGTAAAAAATAATGATAAAACAAGCTGATTTTTATTATGACAAGAAAAAAATAGCACCTTGTTATAATAAAATAATTAATTCTAATTCACTCATTCTAAGTTCTCGTCAACCAACTAAATAGGATCGAAAACAAAGTTTAAATAAAAGATGAAATAAGGAATTTTTTTTAAAAAAATTAAATATTTCCAGGTTAAAATCAATCTTTTTTTTTCCAAATTTTCTTTTTATCCTTTTGCTTAATTTGAATTAAATCGGATACTAATGTATGCATTTGATTGACTCACCTACCCGTCCGGTCTCTCTTTATATAAAATAAGTTATTCTGTTCACAATATATGTTTTTTGCTGTGACCCAACAGAATCAATTATCATTTGGTAGCGATGGGATCATTAACGCTTAAGATTTGCCAATTATTAATAGTTTTTTTTAGATCTCTATGCTAAAGATCCTAAAAGAATGTTGATAAATATTGGCATGAATTCATTGGGTTGTTTAATATTTTTTAAATCTCCACATTTTCTATGGTGGATACAAATTATGTTTGTTTTAAAGTCAATGCGAGGAGAATCCCACGATAACCTACCCTGTGACCGTTGGATGAAGATGATAGAGTCAGGACCCATACTATATAGATCAAGAGTATTATATTGGGTTGGTGTGAATGTTAAAAGTACCATTGCATCCCAAGTGGAAAATCGAAACACTATGTTTTCTTAGCATAATTACTTATTAGCTTATACACGTATAATAGGTGTGCTAATGATTATATTTTTATTAGAATACAGTTAAACATAATTCAAATAACAGACAAGCTCAGCTATATTTTTACACTAATTAATTATGAGAAAGAAAATTATGTGATTTTACATAATAAACATAAAATACTCAGAGGATAACAAAGACCCAGCAAAGCATGGTAGCATCCCAAAATGGGGGCTCCTTAATCTCATGAATTTTATGTTGCATTTTTTAAAATACTTACTATAGTGATACTGAATAAAGATAACCTTATTTTGATTAAATGCTCATTAATATATAATATCAAATTTCCATCTATTTTAGGAATCAGGTAGGTCCTTGTTGTTTATTCAATAACATTATGATTAATGATATAAATAATTCTTATGAACTGAGATTGAATAAAAATATACAAATCATTAAAATTTAAATGCTTGATTTAATATTGTATTGAGTATAGCAATAGGTGTGTATTGGTATTAATATAATTTATCGGTGTTTTGTTTGTATCTTTAAATGCTAATGTGTTAAGAGTTAGTATTGTATCACCTCTAGAAATATAGTAGTATCAATAATAAGTATGATTCTTACAGTATAAATTGTCAAAGCGATTGTACTCTTAGGCTTATTATTAATTGCCCGATTTGAAGTTGTTGCACTAACGGATAAAGAAATAAAAGGGGTAATTAATATGATATATCATTAGTATTTGTTGTGGTATCAGTAGTAGACAATACTTCTAGACGTCCATTGCAGAAGTTTTGTAGTTAACCTAGTCAATACTGTGAAACATTAATGTAGTACCAATATTAGGAACTATTATAGCATTAAGTGTGGTGATGTCTATTGAATCTGTTGTAGTTGCATCACGTGGAGAAGTTGTAATGGTATCCATAGTCTTATTATTTTTAAAATTTCCGATCTTCCAATATATTTGAAGCGATGAAAAATTATGAATAAATTTTTCATATATTTGGGGCGATGAATTTATAAAATAACTTTCTTTATATGGGTTAATTCATTTAATCTTATATTTTTTTTAAATATAAAATAAAAAGGTTAATATTTAAAAAAATATCAATAGAAAATATTTCAGAAAATTAGATATACAAATTTTATACTTATTATACTAAGAATATAATAAACTATATAACATTAAACAGAAAAAACATTGTAAAAATATGTAAAAATTATAAAAAAAATGCAAAATTATTCTAATAAATCACATCTCTTAAAAATCAGGAAAATATTTAAAAAAATAAAATAAAATTAGAATATATATAAGGACAAAAAAAAAATTGTGATTTTTATTTCATTTATCTTGATAAAAATAAGTTTAATTTATAGTTAAAAATTTGAGACAGGCTCGGGCTTAAAATAAAAATTGGGGTTCGTGTCTAAATTTTTTTTATATCGAATACATAAAATATTCTCTCTCTTGTTGAATTGATGAGTAGTTACTCTTTTTTTTCTAGCAGTTTTCGCCTATTTTTAATCGATTTCTCACCTTAACCTCGCATTTTAACAATATTAACATTAAAGAAAATGAATTGCGGAGAGCCTGAATTAAACTTCATAAGGGCAAAACTGGACATAAATGCATCAATTTTCTAAAGAAAAAAAGTTAAATGGTTAAAAAGGGTAACATTTTTAAAATAATCAATTTTTCAAAGTATATTTAATTTTTTCTTCTAGAATTGGGATATTTTTATCTAGAATATTTTTGCCCCATGAGTATTCATATTCAGTATCTATTTGTCCGGTGTACATCTTTCGGGTCTTTTTGTCCAGGACTTCATTTCAATATTCGATTCTATAAAATTAAACATCGTTTTCTTCAAAATATAATATTTTTAAAATGCCATTTTTGCCTCCTCCACTTATTTATCCTGCCTAATAAAGTCATTATCGTTTATAATATTTTATCCAAATTATTTTATTCTTTTTTATTAAAAGATTCAAGCAAATCATGGACCAGATAAAATATCAAGATTATAGTAGTAGATGTCTTCCGCTAAACAATTGTGTTTTCCACGTTAACCCCATAATAACGAAAATTCAGGGCGTACTTTTTGTGTTCGTTGTGTTATTGGATATAAAATATTATGAAGTTTTTAAAATTTCTGTATTTGACTGCCGAATATAATTTATTCTTTTAATAAAACAAACTAGACATGTTTATTGATTAATTTTTGTTTAATTCATTTATAAAATAATCAAATACTGTTTCTCAAAATTATTTTTAATTAATAATTATTTATAAATAAAAAACGATAAAATGCTAAAAATTTTAATATGGAATAATTTTTAATTGTGGGTTTCTACTAAAAATTGCAGGAGTTTACCGCTAATGAGAGGGGGAGACCTGGCAATCCTAGTTTTTCTCCTCTTACATATTATACAATCTAATTTGGTACTTCATGGAATTTTAAAATCATTAAACTTTTCATTTGAAACAATTTAATTAAAATAATTTATATTTATTCAATAAGATCATATTAGCAATTATTAAGTCAAATTCGAAATGTTACATAAATCAGGATTGTGTGAACCTTCTTTCCAAAAAAGGGGTTTTGGTTCAGTGAAATATCTCTGAACCTGGTTCGGGTTCAGGTGGGTTAAAGGTTCGTGGTACAGAAAGTAAAATTTAGTAACAATAACAGAAACATCAGTTTATTTTTATAAACTTCATTTTACTAAATTTAGGCCTTACCATAAAAATAATTTATCATTATAATTAGAATATAGGCGAATTATCATGATATCTTCCAAAATCGAGATGTTAAAAATTAAAATATCTATTTTATTATGCCTAACTTTTAACAGTGCATTTCAACTTGCAATTAATAAAGCTATTTTACCTTGTGATTATGTACTTTTCTTTGGTCTTACTTTTAATTTAATGATCCAACAAACAGAATTATTTAAAAAATATTTACTAAATATACTAGTACAATTTTGAAATTTTTACATAAACAGAGTATTCGATAAAATATAATAAAAAGGATTCAGCGCAAAATAATTTTCACCAAAGAATGTTTTTATATTGAAAATTAAAAAATTATGATGTTTTAAATAATTTATTTAACTTTTTTATATTTAATTTTAATATAGTTTTTATATATGTTACTTTAAAAATATATTTTAAATTGAACCCTGAAAACTAAATTTAAAAAAAAAGGTACGTTTAAGTTTAGTAAAAATATTGAGGGATAGAAGGTTTCTGGTTCAGGGTTTGGGTTCTGGTTCACAGACTGATATAATTCAAAAACAATGCCGAAATATCGATCTATGACAATTATTAAGTTTGATGATTAAAATATCATCCTATCTAAAGTATATTTGCCAAATTTAATTCGTAATTTGGCTACAATTAAGCCTAGTGTACTGAAAGTTTTTTTAACAGATACCTGTTAACAAGGAGCAACTAGAAAGGCGTAATAACATAAATAAAATAATACTTAAAATTTATTTGAAGCCAATATTGTAATATAAAGAAATTTAAAAAAAGTTAAAAAATAACAAATATGATCATTGTCACTCTTCAGTCGTATATTTTCACTGAAATATTTTAGTTTAAATTATCTTCCAAAAAATACAAATTCTAAGATATATAAAAATTATCATTTTCCATTGTTAATTTTCACGGAAATTGTAATTTTACATGTTTGCAACATATATTTTTATCCATTATCTTCAATAGAAAAAGTTAAAAATAACGAATTTGCTACATTTCAATGGTGTATCTTCACTGAAATCTCATAATTTAACATGTTTAAAATATATATTTTTACC